TTAAATACAAACTCCACACACACGCACACACACAATCGCCTCTACAGCACGGCACTCTCCTCACTCATCTTAGTGGCTGTCCGCATCGATAGAGCTGATTCGTAAGCCAGATGTCTGCTTTCATTGCCATTACTGGCTGATTAAAAGACGCTGCCGTGCGAAGGCAGAAAGCACCTTTGCAAAATCGTTCGGGTAGTGCCTAAAAATTATACTAACAAGCAGCACACACGCACACACACCTATCCATTAGCCTTAGCACGGAGCAAGGGAGCTGCTGGGCAGCACTAAACAGCCGTCAAAATCATGACCATTAAGCTGAGAATGGGCAGCGGCCGAACAATGAAAAGACGGCACAGAGACGCAGAGTCGCCTCTACTCCAACAGCTCAACTGTCCAGCTGCCCAGTGTGTATGTGTGCATGTGTGTGTGTGTGGTGGTCAACTGTCCGCCTTAACCCGTCAACCGCATGCACGGACCGGCTCGTTCCCAGTAACTGGCAGAGCGCGGAAAAAAGGATTCCCCCGCCCCCAAATGGCTGCTGCAGAGTGCCTGCTGAACGTTCAACTCAAGTAGCTTGTGTGTGCCATTTTTTCTCTCCCTTTTTCTACAGTTTTATTTTGCATTTTTTTTTGCTTTTCACTGCGAAACTTTGCTCTATTTCCGCCAACGTCTGGCGGCTAGCTGACTGGCCAGCTCTAGCCTGGCTCGTACTCAATGCTGTGCTCTGCTGATGTTTTAGCGGTTCGTTAACGGCGGTTGGAGCTGATGGCGTTGGCCGGCTCGTTCGGCTGATGGCCCTGGGAAGCTGCGATTGTCAGTTGCTTTATGCGAGTCGCGACATCCTGTGCGCCTTTGTGCCGGCATTTTGCATGCAAAGCGAAAATGTTGTCGCTGTTTAATGTCAAGCGTTGACTTTTTTTGCTGGCCAATGGATGGCAAGTGCTTCTGCTCCTGCTCCTGCTGCTGCTGCTGCTTTTGCTTCTGCTGACCCCGGCCACAGATCCCATCTTCTGGCTGACCACTTTCAATGTTTGCCCCTGGCTAACTGCAGACATTTTCATGCCCATTGCGTATTGGACCACGCCCCCCGTCTCGCACCCACCGCCTTTCCGGCTGTCTGTCCAAGTTGATGTGCTGTCTTGATGGATTTGTCTGGCTAAGTGTCGGTTCGTTGACTTACTGCAATTGGAGTTGGAGTCTGAGCAGCTCAAGGGCCGCCGTCGTCATCAACGAGCATTGATCAAATCAGCATTGAATGTGATGCGAAAATATAGCAAATCGTG